GGAGTTAAAGTTTCTATTATAGGAAGCTGCTAGATCCATAACTATCTCCCAATTCAAACACAAAATGAACAAAATCAAGGCAATTTATTGGAAGGCATAAGAGTATTTTGATAAGTGGCCAAAAGAAACATGAACAAAACATATTTTTCTGAATGACCTAAGATAGAAAAAACTAGCAACAACAATTGTGAGGTGTTTAATGCTAAGGTGGTAGCACCTAAATCAAAGCCCATTATAACTATGTTGAAAGACATTCAAGGTTATATAATAACCACAATTATATGCAACAAGATCATATTGGGTTCTCATATGGGTACATTATCCCCAATTCAACAGTGTAGACTAGAAAAGGAAAAGAAGGATAGTGACAAATGGACTCTTGTATGGTCAAGTAATATCATTCAACACTATATATTTCATATATACTAGCATCACCACTCTAATAATGTTTAGAGGTGTTTGTGCATAGGTGATGATAATGGACATAAGTTTGAAGTTCAATGCTAGCCTACCAAAGTTATTGTCAACTTAGGCACTTAAACTTGTCAATTTTGACATCTAAAAGGTAACATACAAATTATTTGCACAACACAACATTTCAATTAAAAACTAACATGCATTTTTATATGTTATAGATATGTCATGCAAACATGCAATAGCTGTTATTGCATTTAAGAATGAACAACCTGGAGATTATTGTCATGGTTGGTTAATCATGACTTCATATATGATTACATATAACAACTTTGTGCAACATGTGCATGACATGAAATTTTGGTCAAAGACAAATCAAATTCCACCAATACTTGCTCCTATCAAGAAAGTTGTTGGCAAACAATATCTTTCCTAGTCAATAAGTTCCTGATGGGAAAAAAAACATAGAAGAAAGAATATAAATGAAAAAGAAAAAAAGGAAAAAGTTAATTCAAAGTCTCATAAGTTGAAAAAAAAGGTAGTAAGGCATAAATGTTTAATATATAGAGAAAATCCGCCATAACGAGTTTTGATAATTTGTACCCATAAAGAATTTGGATATTTCAATCCGCTCTACACCCACTTTCCTAATAAGCTCATATTGAACCAAGCCACGTTCTTTATTCCAAGGCCATCTTCTTTTATAAGTTTACAAACTTGGTTCCATTTTACCCAACAAATCTTAGAGGACTCCTTAACCCCACTCCATAAAAAAACGTCTTTGAATCTTCACCACCTCTTTAATAATAGATGGAGGCATTTTCCGAAAAGACAAATAATGTAAAGGGAGACTATTTATGACATCATTAAGATGAGTCACCCTCCCCCCAACAGAAACATATTTATGTTTCTAAGAAGTCAATTTATTACGCAAAACCTCTAACAAACGCTCTCAAGCCACCTTACACCTAGGTTTATCACCAACGTATAGCCCCAAATAACAAAAAACCAAAATCCTCACCTTACAATTTAAAAAAGTGGCCGCCGTCAACAGAAAATCTTGGTCCACATTTACCCCAATCAAACAACTCTTATGAAAATTAACCTTCAAACTTGAAATTAATTCAAAGCAATGTAACATTGCCTTTACTATCCATAAATTTCTCTCAGTTGCTTCTCCTATCAACAATGTGTCATTCGTAAATTGAAACAATGAAATTTCAGGTCCCTTGCCCACCTTAATCCCCTTAAAAAGGCCTTTTGCCCCAAACTTCGCATTAAACCTCCTAAACCTTCAGCCATTATAAAAACAAAAAAGGTGAAAGGGGATCACCTTGTTTAAGGCCTCTCCCAATCTCCACCTTATTTGTTAGACAACCATTCACAAGAACCAACAAATGACCTCTACACATGCAAACTTCCATCCAATTTACCCATCTTTCTCCAAACCCCATCTTCCGTAGCATATATAATAGATACCTCCAATCCACCAAATCGTATGCTTTTTCATAATCAACCTTCAAACAAAGCAACTCCGCCTCATTTTTTTGACATAGTCCACCACTTCATTGGTTACAAATACACTATCAAATAAGTTTCGACTTGGTACAAAACTCAATTTTTGGTCATTTATAATATCATCCAATATCCCCTCATCCTATTAGTGAGCACCTTGGAAATGATTTTATACAGGCAACCCAACAAAGATATTGACTGAAAATCTCCTAATCCTTGTGGACTTTTAGATTTAGGAATTAATGTGACAAAATAAGATAACAAACCTTTAAATACAACTGCATTTATGTGAAATTCCACCAGCATTTGCATTAAATCATCCTTCATCAGATCCCAAAATGCTTTCAGAAAGGTAAAATTAAAACCATCTGGTCCTGGACTCTTGTCACCGTCACATTCTTGAATCACACTAGTCACTTCCTCCACAAAAAATATCTCCTCCAACCCCACCTTATTCCCATTTTTTACAACAGGCAACCTAATATTATCAATAGTCGGTCTTTCCCACTTCCTTCTTGCAAACTGATCACTAAAAAAATTCAAAAAACCTCCTCCACCTCCTCAAGCCAATGCCCATTAACATACAAAGTCAAAATTTAATTGCATCTTCGACGACCTCTTATACATGCATGAAAATACTTGGAGTTTCAATCCTCCTTCTTAGACCATTTTTTCCACTCCTTTTGAGCCAAGAGATTTTCCTTACTACGACAAGCAGCCAAGATATCACACACCAAAGATTTTTGTTGTATAACTTCGTCTGCCGTTAGACCTTACGTTTCACTTTTAATATCCAAGTCATGTAACGTTGTAGTACTAATTCTAATATTCTCTTCCACATCTCCAAAACTACTTTTATTCAATAATTTCAATGTCGCTCTAATGTTTAACAACCTTCCTTTAACACACTGCATTGCATGGCAAACAAACATCCTTATTCCAAGCTTGTGTTACAACAACAGTTCGCAACTCCTTGTGATGTAGCCAATAATTATTAAATTGAAAGTTTTAGGTCCCCAATTCAATGACTTATGCTTAACTAAGAGTACACAATGGTTAGACACATCACGCGGCATAACCTGCATCACCGGATTCCCCATGACCTCACCCTCAATCTTTCGAAACAAGTACTCTATTTAATCTGCTCATCACACGTTCATCTCCATGCCTCCAAGTAAACCTCCTACCAACCAACGATAAATCCACTACTTACATATCAAAAATAAATTGATTAAATTTCGCAATCTCTTGCGAATCACCATCCCCAATTTCTCCTCTTCTCTCCTCTCTAACTCTCATCACATTAAAATCACTTATCATGCATCACAAACCATCACCAAACCACTGTTTAGACAATTAAATTAGCCCACAAAGACCTCTTATCAACCAACCGGCAAGGCGAATAAACATTGACAATTCTTATAATTTGTTTCTTTTCCCTACATTCTAAACAGACATCCACAAAACTAAGACCACAAAAATAATACTGTAATTTATCTTTCATTATATTCTAAACAGTAAGAATTCTACCACTATTTCTTATCGCAGGCTATGCAATCCAATCAAAATCTTCATCACTCAAAAGTTGGCAACACAATTCTTGTGAACAAGCTTCCATCTTTGTCTCTTGAAAAAACAAAATATCAACACTCTCTTGCCATACTATTTTTGCCACCCATTACTTTTTAACCCTCCCTCCAACACCTCTAACATTTAATGAAATTAACTTCATGAGAAACTACCACACCCCTTGCCACCGCCACAACATTTCTATCTCTAATCTCCAAATCAATAATTTTACCAATCACTTCTTCTATATTCCCTTGCACCACAAGCCCGAGCTCTTCTCCATCTTCTAGTATTTTTATTTTTTTTTGCCATATGTCGCACTGCAATTTTCGGTCCACCTGCCATTGAAGTAGTCATCTCCGCACTCTTCGCATAAAAGCCTGATCTTTGTCTCTTTGAACCAATCCGTTAGGACAACCTCGAATAGTCTATAACTTTCTTCCAAGCCTGTATCACATATACTTAACTTGAAAGACATTAAACCTCCAGAAAACTGAAGTGACAGATTAAGAGTGACTTAAGTTTCATATATTATAAATAAATAGATAATAATCATAAGCAAATGAAACTTTTCGGTGTTTAACATCAAATACTATAGTGTAAAAGTAAAACTATTATATAATAATAAAAATTTAAAAACTCTTATACTTAATCTGAATATTTTATTTAACTTAAAATAATAAATTATAACTAAACTCATAATTAACTATTACATTGTACAACATTTGTAAGTAGTCTAACTTCATACACAACACCGTGAAAGTAAGTATGAAAGCAATAAATGTCACATACTACCCACAACGCGTATGGCTCTTAACTATAATTTTAATTTCTTAGTTTTGATTATTTATATTTATTTTTCAATTATTTAAATGAAGCCTTTCATATTAAAATCTCATTTGATAGTAAATAAAGATATAATAAAAACATAATATATCATTAATTTATATAAATTAAAAATATGAAACATTTAAATTCAAATATAGCAAAAAATTTAGTTTAATTTATTTATATATACATATATTTGAAAATTCATATAAATTAAGGATATATTTACTATATTTTTATTAATCATTAATAAAATTTTAGAATGAAAAATATAATTAATTAATAAATTATAAAAATTAAATATTAATAATTAGAATTAAAAAAGGACTAAAATAATATATAAATTAAAATATAAAACCTAAAAATATAATAAAACCTAGAATAAAAAAGATGGAATGACAAAAAAAGAAAATAAAAAGCTAGTATGCTTGGCCTTGGCGCATGGAAGTTGTCACGGTCGAGTTGATAGAAGACAAACCTGAAAAGAAATATAGAAAGCGATCTTGTTCCCAACTAATTTATAGCATGTTTAAATGTCACTGGATATTTAAAATATATATATAATATTAAAAATAGTGGTATTTCTCAAACTATAATTGAAAACTTTTTTCTTAGAAAATACAAATACACCGTTACATATTGCTGCAACTCAGTACTTCCCCTTTACCAACACCATGATTCATGAATAGAACTTCTGTTTCCACGACACGTGTGTATACTCTCTTGGTTTGCTTTTCATCATTCTCAAACTGAACCTTACCATAACCATAAACCACACCACAACTCACAAGCGTGTGTGGTAGCGACTCATCCTATTCGGTTCCTGTCTCTATCATCTGAATGTATTTCAATTTTTTTTTACAAAATTCAATTGCTTGTGCTTTGTTAAATTCTCTTTCTCTCTTTCCTAATTTTTACACAAAGCATAGTTCAAATCATCCAAATTTCAGAAAGAGAAAGTATATTTAAGCAGGGAAGTTTTGGGTTTGAGGTCAGTTCCATTTATTGGTTATGCTTCTTCCTCTTCCATTTCTTTTTTTTTTTTTTTTTTCTGATACCATGAAATATTGGATTTTTACCAAAACTGGGTTTTCTTAATCATCAAGTTTCCATCATTTCTATGATCATGAAACTGGGTTTCGTTTTTTAATCTCTGTACATGGCTACTATCACAGTTTCTCTCTCCAAACGCATGGGTTTCACTTTCACCTTGCTGTTCTTGAACACCTCGTTTCTCACGGTGGTGTTTTGTGCTTCACTTGTCGGTTATTTCCACTCTTCAGAACTTCTTTTTATAAGGAGCAACCACTTTGCCTTTGGTGGTAGCGGTGAGCATGATTGCAAGAGCTTCCACAGCCTAGGTGACTACAAAGCCAAGTGCTTGTTCTTGAAATCCAATGAACCGTGTGTCTCTCAGGGCTATGTTGATTACCTTTACCTTTTCTATTGCAAATTTGGGGGATTACCTCTATTGGGTCACTCTCTTTTGTTTCTCTGGCTTTTGGTTCTGTTCTATCTGTTGGCTAACACTGCTTCTGAGTACTTTTGTCCCTCTCTTGAGAATTTGTCCAAGCTGTTGAGGCTCTCTTCTACAATTGCTGGGGTGACTCTCCTCTCTCTTGGCAATGGTGCTAGTGATGTTTTTGCCACCCTTGTCTCTTTCAACGGGAGTGGGACCCGCGACATTGGCTTTAACACTGTGCTTGGGGGTGCTTCCTTTGTGTCCTGTGTTGTGGTGGGAATAGTAAGCATTTCAATTCGGCATCGGGGAATTCGGGTTAAGAAGTGGGCATTGATAAGAGATGCGTGTTTTCTTCTCTTGGTTCTTCTGTGTTTGTTCACCATTTTGATCACTGGCGAGATCAATGTTACTGGAGCAATTGCCTTTTGCTTGATGTATGTGGTGTATGTGTTTGTTGTTTATGTCTCATCTGCAAGAGGGAAAGGTGGATGTGAAGATGCTGAAAGTAACGGTGATTTGAGTCGTGGCGATGGGAGTGATTTAGGTGTCCCTTTGCTCAGTGGGATGGAGAAAGGACTAATTGATTCTGCTGCAAATGGAGCTCAGGAATGTGACATCAAGATTGAGAGGAAATGCTTCTGTACACAATCTTCAATGTGTAGAATGGCACTTTTTGTATTGGAGATGCCCCTTTACTTGCCTAGGAGATTGACAATTCCTGTTGTTTGTGAAGAGAGATGGTCCAAATTGTATGCAGTTTCTTCTGCTGTGCTAGCACCATTTCTCTTGTCATCCTTGTGCAAGGAAAAAAGCTTCAAATCAAGCGTTATAGTTAATGGAATTGGATTGTTGGTTGGAATTATATTAGGGGTAACTGCATTTTTCACAACAGAAGTCTCAAGTCCACCAAGAAAATACTTGTTTCCTTGGCTTGCAGGAGGGTTTGTGATGAGTGTGACTTGGAGCTACATCTCAGCTCAGGAATTGGTGGGGTTGTTGGTTTCACTTGGTTACATATGTGGAGTTAGTCCTTCCATACTGGGATTAACAGTTCTTGCTTGGGGTAATTCACTAGGGGATTTAGTTACAAATTTGACAATGGCTTTAAATGGTGGACCTGAAGGTGCTCAAATAGCAATATCAGGGTGTTATGCCGGCCCTATCTTCAACACATTGGTTGGATTGGGCTTATCTCTTGTTAGCACTACTTTGTCTGAGTACCCATCATCTGTTGTGATCCCTAGAGATCCATATCTATGGGAGACATTGGCACTTTTGGTGGTTGGATTGGTTTGGGCACTTGTTGTTTTGATTAGAAGAGATATGAAGCTGGATGCACTCTTAGGAGGAGGGCTTTTAGTTATTTACTTCATTTCTCTTTTTCTGAGGCTGATTCAGACACTTGGGTCTCTCCAATTTCAGGATATGTTAGCCCTAGTCTTCAAAAGATGATAGGAATTGATAATTTGTCATCAGATTGGTATAGCTACTAGCAACTGACATTACCTTCTGTAAAGGAACTATATATTATGCAACTATTATAGGTAGAGGCCTAATTTGTTAGGGTAACTTCCACTGCTATTTGTAACTATCTTTCCTCGGTTAATGCCATTTTCAATACATCCAGATCACACAATTACATTTTGGGTACTCCCTTGTGAGATATTTTTATATATAAACTATCATTTGATCATAATTAATTTTGTTTTGCTTAATTTCCCCAATATAGTATTACTTAGTGAAATCCTTGCAGAGGAAAAGCATAATAACGTTCCCAGCTTTAGCCAAGTGGATGCATTAGTCAACATCTAATCCACTCCACATATTGAAAGTTAAATTGAAGAAGAATAGCGATATACCTTTCTAGAGATTCATCATAGGAAACGCCAAAATGGTAACCATCATTCCATCAAATATTGATGTGAGGTATTATTCTTCACCGAACCAACGGTGATGCTTTTATACTACATCAATGGATTATAACCTATGATTGTTCTCGTAGTTTCGATGATATGAACATGGGTTTGGAGATTATTCTTTGCAAATTGGAGAAGTTTGTCGGTGTGATGGATAAGCCTCGTTAGTGTTTCACAATGTTTCTTGCTGCTTTTGCTGCTTACGTGATGTAATGGGCCAAGGTACTAATGAACACCCCATAGGCCATACCCAAGTTACGTTTGGGATAAAATCTACCCTAATTTAACCTAAATTTTGTTACTCTGTATCAAAGCATATAGTCGAGATAACAACTATGTATTTATAAATATTTAATGTATCTAAAATTTGATATAGATGATCAACATGATAAGATTGCATTATTTAACAATTAAATTGGTAAAATTTATTGTTTATAAAAAGTTATTAAATAAAATAATCCTTACAACAATTATTTCTAAAATAATTTGATCCCACCTTAGGGAAATTTTTTTTAAAAATACAAGAAAATTTTTAATTTGGAAAAATTTTAAAGATTATTTATTCATAGAAGATTGTTTTATTGGTAATTCATAAATAATATTATTGTGTCTATTATTCGTTGAAGAAATTTGAATAACGATTAAAAAATTAGAACATATTTAACGGTAATATTCGTTAAATTTCTTAATTCTTTGTTACATGGGTCCCACCAAAATATATTGCTTTTATTTTTTATTATTTTAACAATTTCATCAATTATTCTCTAACGATGGAGCATTAAAAATTTTGCTGAATAAGTTCTATAAGCTACTTCATATCTCATAAATATTTATTTTATTTCAAATTAAAATTTATAAATCAGATTTATTTTAATTTTAATTTAATTTAATAAAAATGTAACTAATTTGTTTAATATTTTTTTATGAAATAAGGTTTTAAAGCAATAACATGTAGGTAATAAAGTATAATTTTGTTCAAAAACTAAAATAAAATAGAGATATGGGGCTTAATGCAATCATAGTTGTAAATCTTCAATACAGGAAGGCAAGGGCTATAGTTTTTTTACTTCAATATTTTTTGCTAATTTTTACTTCAATATTTAAGTAAATCTCCACTTTAACTTTTATAATTATAAGTTTCGAATTATTTTAGTTTTATAAAATATTTATTGTAGGTTTTGTTTGAGGTGGTAGTAAGTTTTTATTTTCTGATTTTAAAATTAAAACATGTTTAACTAAAATTGAGTTGAGTTGCTTTTCAATTTATTTTTGAAAATATTTAACTCAATAATTAAAAAAAAAAAACTGTTTGGATTTTTGAATTTTAGTTATAGAAATCTCTTTGTTTTTATTTTGCACTCACTAATGTTGTCAACACCTAACAACAATCCATTGTTGTTGACACTAGGAGTGTTGATCAATTTATTGAATTCAATGCAAATCACAAAAAAAAAAAAAAAACTAAAAATTTGAAACTAAACAAATTAATAACTGCAAAAACAATTTTTCTTGGATTAAATTTTGGATCCATTTTAAAAAACGATTCAATTAACTCTAAAATATATAATTCTATTTATAAAATTAATATTTCACTCATATTTTTAAGTATACTAATAAAATTATAATATTTAACTATTTTTATGGATACATTTTATTATTTTTATGATTATATTATATAAATATTTTTTAAATAATTTAAAATTATTCTTGTACATCATATTTTTGTCTATAAATTTTATATTTTATACAAATATTAGCTTTATTTACAAATAATGTAGAAGAAACGATAAAACAATTTATTTATTATTTTGTAATTAAAAATTAAAATAAAATCACATAAACTGAATTATCTAATTCAAATATTTTTAATTAGATCAAACTTAATTGAATTTAATTTCAATTTGATTCAACTAAACTACGTTACAATTTTATGATCAAAATCAATGATTTTTTTTGTTGTTAGAAAATCTATCCAAATTGTACTTCTAATTGACACGATATGCTTCCTCGTTTCTTTATCAATATCACTATTACTACTATTTTTTTTTATATAGACAAAACATATATTATTAGAAAGAGTTCAAAGGAAATTCAAAACTCATATACACAAAAAAAAATTACTTACTCAAAAAAATAAAAAGTAAAAATATATTTATACAAAGATAAAACGGATGCAATTTTGTAGATTCAAATACTAGTCAGTTAACAAAATAGCTTCTCCCTTACTAACAAGTGATAGCCATTTCTAGGATCTCAGAATAATAGAATCTAGGACTTCCCTCTCATCCAAAACATTATTGGAAAACACAATTATATTTCTATGTAACCACAAAGACCACACTATACTTACCAAAACAATTAATAAACATATTCCTTCTCTTTTACTACAGCCAACACTAACTCAAGAAAACAAGTGAGTAGATAAATCTAAAAGTAAAACCAGTGAGAATCCAAGCCAATGCGCAGTAAAGTACCAGATTTGAGATGAAACTGAGCACGTTAAAAATAAATGAGTTAGAAGTTTCTCCAAATCATGACAAAAGAAACAAGTTATATCATCAATTTGAACACCACAATCAATCAACAAACCTTGCATTTAATAACAATTGCCAAGAAAATACCAGACACTTAAGGGGGACCTTCCCTCTTTATTAGGACCACCAAAAAGTTCAAATAGTCATGCATACTCAGATTGTACTGAATAACAACCTGAAGAATCTACCCTCCATACCCATTTATCTTCTTGTAGTAACTTAATAGAAACCCCATCTTAAAGCTTGAGATCTCATGTTGAAAGAGTCTTCTTCGCCAACTAACATCTCAAACCCACCTAGTGCCATCATGAAAACTATTCTCCAATACACATAATTCAGCATTCCTCATCACCGCAAACAATCGTAGAAATGCCTCACACAATTGTACCCCATCTACCCACTTATCTCTCCAAAAAAGAGTGTGTAAACATGCACCCACATTCCTATCAAACTTCTCATCCGGCCATGAATTCCCTTGATGAATAACCTCTAGCAAATCATGCCACCACAAAGACTATCTGTTGTGGACTGATGAATGTTGAATAAAAGAAGCTAATCTTCCATACCTAGATTCCAACACCTGCACCTACAATGAACTAGAACAATTAACACCTCGCCACAACCATTTACCAAGAAGCGCGCAGTTAAACCACTGCACATTCCTAATGTCCAAGCCACTATTCTTTCGCGGTCTACATACCGTTTCCCATTTCACCTAGGAAATTTTAGATCCATCCTTAACACCCTTCCATAAAAAATTTTGTTGAATAGTGACAATCTCCTTTATCACCGACTTCGGCACCTTAAAAAAGGATAACAAGTGTAATGACATAGAATTAAGAACGACATTATTCAAAGTCACCCTGCCTCCAATTGATAAATACCTATGTTTCCATGACGCTAACCTCTTTTTAAGAGCCTCTATCACACCCTTCCATGCTCTAGGCTTTTTTGGGTTAACACTTAACTGTAACCAAGATACTTTAATGAAAAATACCAATCTTATAATGTAGGAACTCCGTAACCAAGTTTTTAAAATTATCACCAATGTTAATTCCCAATACACAACTTTTATGAAAGTTAATTTCCATACCTGACATTAATTTAAAGCTATGCAATACTACTTTCAAAGTCCACAAGTTCTGAACCGAAGCCTCTCCTATAATCAATGTGTCATCCATAAACTGCAGCAAAGAAATATACAGTTCCCCTACCCCAATTTTCACACCAGAGAACAACCCACAAGCCACTGCCTTTCGCATAAGAACTCCTAACCCTTCTGCTGCTACAAGAAAAAGAAAAGGGGCAAGAGGATCCCCTGTTTTAGGCCCCGCTCAATATAAACCTCCAATGTAAGACAACCATTAATCAAAGCTGATAGGTTATCCCTACACACACAAGCTTCTATCCAACTAACCCATTTTTCTGAAAATCCAAAGCTACGTAACATAAACAAAAGATATCCTCACTCCACCGAATCATAAGCCTTCCTATAATCAAGTTTTAACACAAAACACCTCTTGTTATACCTTCGCACATAATCAACTACTTCATTAGCCACAAACACACTATCTAACATGTTTCTTCCCGGGATAAAGGCTGATTGTTCTTTTGAAATTACTGAATCCAAAACCCCTTTCAACTTATTTGCCAAAAGCTTAGAAATAATTTTATAAAGACAACCTAATAATGAGATAGGCTGAAAATCAGATATCTGTTGTGGGCAAGACACTTTTGGCACAAGTGCTACAAAGTAAGATAACAAAGACCTAGATAGTTTCCCATTTCTACAAAATTCAGTAAGCATACCCATCACTTCTTCCTTGATCACTCCCCAAAACCTCTTAAGGAACACAAAATTGAAACTATCGGGCCTCAGACTTTTATCCCTCACACTCCAAAATCATCCTTCCCACTTCCTCCTCTGAAAAAGTATTAACAAGCCCCTCATCCTGTAGAACAAAGACTCTTGGTAAATCATTAACATCAATAGTAGGTCGAAGCCAACCTCTACTACTAAAACGAGCCGCAAAATAGGACACCACACTTGCTTTAATCTCATCAACCTCTTCTACACATCTCTCCCTAATTTGAAGCGCATGTATATTGTTGCGTCGCCTCCTTCTATTACTACACAAATGAAAGAACTTTGTATTTAAGTCACCCTCCTTCCCCCATCTCACCCGAGCTTTTTGGGCT